GACTCCTGGCCGGCCCCGCCTCCAGGAGGGAGAAACCATGTGCTAAAGCGGGGGGGAGGGCGGGAGGGGCCCGTGGCCTCCATACCGGAAGAGGAAGTCGGAGGCAGCGGGCGTGGAGAGCATTGTGGGTAATCCACTGTTTACTTCCTGTGGTGCGGAGGCGCGGCCCAGTGATTCGCTGCACCCCTTCCAGTGGGAGAAGATGGCCCTGGAGACGGTGCCGAAGGATCTGCGGCATCTGCGGGCTTGTTTGTTGTGTTCACTGGTCAAGGTATCCGTAGGGAAGCTGGTTGTAGAGGCCATGGGGCCACCAAGTTAGGGGGAAGAGGGCCAAACGGGCTGGAAGACGGTGAAAAAAAAACTGAGGTCCAGGAGACCTGGGAGGGCAGTGGTCGCGGGAAATGGAGTCGGCTTTCGTTGACATGACTTGGGATGCAAGCACAGGGAGCATCGATCCATGAACCGTCTTCTCGGCATTTCGAATCGTCAGCTCCTTTCCCCAGGTCTGACTCTTAACATTCAGTGAGTTCAGTGAGCTTGACGCCGACAGGCTCCAGGAGTCAGAGGAGACTGCCGCTGAGAGGCAGTCACAGCCCGATCCTGAGGAATTAGGAAAAGGAGCATTGGAACTCAGCCGAGCCTGAGAGAGGGGTGTCCAGGTGGAACGTAGGAATGGGGCCATGAGGATGAAGGGTGAGGGACTTGATAAGACAGCCTTCTCCTTCTCCAGAAAGAGTATGGTGAAAGCTGTTTACTTTTGGTAACCTTGTTCATTGCTTACCCCTGTACTCCCAGACCATAGACCAGTTTGAATATGACGGCTGTGACAATTGTGATGCGTACCTTCAGATGAAGGGAAACCGAGAGATGGTCTATGACTGCACTAGCTCTTCCTTTGATGGGTAAGTCCCGTTAGGGTCCTTCATTCATTTCTGCGTTAACCAGCGCCCTTTCCCCCACACCCCAAATCTGTTAGTCTGTTACTTTGAGGCAGATCCACACTGACCACATGTGGTTACTGAGCACTTGAAATGTGGCTAGTCCAGGTTGAGGTATGCTTAATTTGTAAAATATAATACACTGATTTCAAAGATTTCATTTAGCACAAGAAGAAAGAATGTAGGCTATCTTGTTCTTTCTGTGTTACTTGCCAAAATGATACCTTGACTATGATGGGTTAAATGAAATATTGATGAAATTTCACCTTTTTGTCTTTTATAAGGATGGCTGTTATAAAATTTAAAAATGACTTGTGTGATTTCATTATAATTCTATTAGACAGTTTATCAGCAGACTCATTTTTGAAGCTTCCTTTGGTTAGATAATCCAATGGGGAGAAGGGGAAGGAGAGAAATATAAGTGACCATGGCTCAGTTTTCCTTCTCCAAGTTAGGAGCCATTTTTCTTCTTTGGAGAGTTTTCATACAGACTGAACTCAAAACCAGTTTGAAATTCCATCAAGGTGGGTCAGCCCCATTCCTTCTTTAATTTCCTTTAGGGAAGAACGATTTGGGTGTAAAAAAAGGTGTCATGAAACGTTTAGGAGCACATGCATGTGCATACCTAGATAACTCCACTTCGTTTATCAGCACTATATTCTTTTTTTTTTTAATTACAAAGTTTATTTTTACATCATTTTGCACATTTTTTTTCCCATCTCCATTATAATCCCCACGGGTTTCCCATCACCAAATCACCCCTGCAGCACTATATTCTTTAGTGAAAGATGGAGCAACTTCCATTATGGTGAAAGTACCCCCCCTAGAGGTAGGGTCAGTTTCATTCAAAGCATATGGCTGAGAATGTCCCATTTGGATGGAGAGGCTTGCCCCAAATAATCCAAGATTGTGGCCAACAGAATAGGGAATGGATGTTGAGACAGTCAGTAAATGTGTGTCTAGAACAGATTTGTGCACTTGATTGAATGGTAGTTCAGTCTCCCCATTTGCACTAACTCCCAGCCCCCTGGTGGTTGTGTTGGTTGCAACAGTAGCACTGGCCATTTACCTCCCAAGGCTATCCCTTTTCCCTGGTCTCTGGGCTGAGGATAGCTTTGAGCACAGTGAGAGTCTTAGGGAATGCCGACTGACCTGTAACTAGCAGGTCAGGCACATAAAGTGCACACCACTTGTCAGTTTTAGCTGTGAGACATTGTTTTCTCAGCAGTAGAACTTAAGTCACCTGTCTTTCTAGCAGAGACTCAATACTTGACTTTCCTAAGTTTCTTTTGCAGAACTATGGGGCTGGCTAGGAACACAGGGTTTCCATCTCCCCTTGTTCTCCCTCTTTAACAGGGGAGGTTCACTCACTCAATGATTATATTTTTTTTTCCCCTCCTTTCTAGCATCATAGCAATGATGAGTCCAGAGGACAGCTGGGTCTCCAAGTGGCAGCGAGTCAGTAAGTATCTCTCTCTTTATGCTGACCTAGTTGTGTTGTTGATAAGGTCGGAAGTGGGTTAACTTTAACCCATTGCGCCACCTGGAAGGACCTATTGCCATTCTTATTCTAGATCCTAACTGGTAACAGTCAACCTGGTGGAACCATTGAACAGTCAAGCAACCAGTTTGTTTAGAAACACTCCACTCCCTCAAAGTACCTTTCTTATCCCTTGGAGTCTTCTTTCCTTATAAAGTGGTTTCTTTTAAAGTGGGGGGTAGGGACTGGTTTTTAAATCACTGTCTGTGCCCTACTACCAAAATAAATAATTGGTCTTCTGTTAGCGTTGTACCATTTCTTTGATTTGTAACTTACATCTCTATTTGGTCTTTAATTTTAATTCACTCTCACTGCACTCTTCTCTTTTAGGCAACTTTAAGCCAGGTGTATACGCCGTGTCTGTTACTGGTCGCCTGCCCCAAGGTAATAATCATAATAGCCAATGTTTATTTACTGAGCCATATTCTGTTGAGCTTCTTTATGTGAATTAATGCCATTACCTATAACTATGAGGGAATTAAGACACAGAGAGGTTAAATAACTTGCCCAAAGTTACCTAGTTAGCTAGTAATAGCCAAAATTTGAACCCAGGCATCTGGCTCCAGGTTTCCCTTGCTTTTTACAGTTACAATGTATCTATTTTTCTTACCAAATTCTCTTTCTCTTTTTTAAAAATTTATTTATGCATACAAGAGCTGGGGTACAGGCCAGATGTGTAGGAGAAGGGGGAGGGGGTGAGAGGATTCACCAGAGACAGAGTGAGGAGTAGAGCATGCAGATCCACTGAAATACACTGCTGAGGGGAGCAGCGGGTGGGTCAGGGGAGGTCTGCCAACCCATATGGGTCACCTCCCTGGCCAGGGATCGAACTTGTGCTGCAGTAGATGCCGATAGCTTCATAGATTGCACTTTAACGTTACGATTGCACCACCTGGAAGGACCTATTGCCATTCTTATTCTAGATCCTAACTGGTAACAAGTCAACCTAGTGAAACCAGTGAACAGTCAAGAAACCAGTTTGTGTAGAAACACCCCACTCCCTCAAAGTACCTTTCTTATCCCTTGGAATCTTCTTTCCTTATAAAGTGATTTCTTTTAAAGAATTATTTATGTATACGGAACTGGGGTACAGGCCAGAGGGGCAGGAGCCAGAGGATTTACCAGAGATAGAGTGGGGAGCAGAACAGGCTGATGTACCGAAATACACATTGAGGGGAGTGGGTGGGTCAGAAGAAGTCTGCCACGCCACATGGGTCCTCTCCCTGGCCAGGGATTGAACTCGCGCGGTAGTGGCTGCAACAGCTTCGCAGTGCTGTGCTTTAACCTGTTGTGCCACCAGGGAGGGCCCTATAAAGTGGTAAAATCGTTTCTTTTCCTGCTGCAGGAATTGTGCGGGAGCTAAAAAGTCGAGGAGTGGCCTACAAATCCAGAGACACCGCTATAAAGACCTAGGAAGATGGATGGCTGCCAGCATCTTTGCTTCCCACCTTCTGCCTCTGCTTATTTTTGTTGTGGAACTAACCAGGCAGAATTTCAGCCTCTTAATTGAGACAGCAAACTCAGGAGAACAACACAGCCCGTTCCTGGGTCATTTTGCATTTGGACTATGGGGGGGTGGGGCACCAGTTTGGGTGATTGTATCAACAGACTGAATTGAGTGGAGAGTAGGATGCTGGTTTTCCTACACATAGCCCAGGGCTGAGCCCTTGTTCCATGGGCAAGACTCTGTCAACTGCCAATAAACATGAACCCCTAGGAAGGTTGTTAAGCCCATGACAGTTGTCTTGCCTCCCTCTTCCTTCTCTTACCTGAACACACTAGGAACTCACTGTACATACCTTCCCAGCACAGCAGAGGTTCTGCTCGCAGTTACCTGCCCCTGTCTCAGAGCCACACAGTTGCATCCTTTGCTAGTGTGTTTCCTTGGGGCTCTGCTGTCCCAAGTCTGGGCAACCCTTGCAGCCTGATTGTCACAGTGACTGGCATTTGTAGCCTTGTGCCCTTAGGTCTGGCACAGCAGATATCTTTGAAGGGTGTTTTCTTCATTTTTTTTTTTTCATGGCTTTTGCTATACCCAAGGCCAGTGAGGGAAGCCCCTAGCCTTTCCCTCTTCCACTCACCCACATTTTGTATTCCCCTAACTGGAGACCCGCAGGTGGATATTGACCCTGATTACAATTTGTGTCTCCATAGGCATTAGTCTCTCCGCTAGGAGAGGAAGAAGGTGAGTCATTTGTTTTGGAATTGAAATTTTATAAATTGTCATTTACTAAAACTTCCACTAAAAATCCTTTTTAGTATTCCATTTTGATTTCCCTAAGTTTCTTACTCTCTATAAAATAAGAATTATAGTGTACCTGTTTAATCTCAGGATTTTTACATTGTAAAAATGAAGCAATGTGAAAATTCTATAACAAGTTTTATAAACAGTAAAATTGATTTAAGATTTATGTATGCACACAAAACTGGGGTACAGGCCAGAGGTATGGGGAGGTGAGAGGATTCATCAGACAGAGTGGGGAGCAGAACCGGCAGATGTACTTAACTACACTGCTGAAAGGAGCAGCGGGCGGGTCAGGAGAGGTGTGCCACGCCATGTGGGTCACCCCCCTGCCAGGGATCAAACTCAGGCTGCAGTGGCTGTGGGTAGCCCCACAGCACTATGCTTTAATCTTTAGCTGCCACCAGGGAGGGTGGGAGGAATGTGAGTGCCCAGAATCACCATTCTGATTGTCAGCAGAGATGCTGTCGCTGGACTTTGTCTCTCAGCCACCTGGTGCTGCTAGTGAGTCAGTTTCTATTGTTCGGCCTGGAGAGGGTGTAAAGGAGACAGGTTGGGGCTCTAGTACCAGCCTTGTGTCCTCTGCCAGCCTGGAAGGGAAACCAGGGTGGCCTGGGCTCACTTGTACTCAAGTCCAGAACCATCTTCTCTGATGCCTTTAACTTCTGAGGGAGTATCTATTAACCCCAATTTCAAAGAGATTTTAAAGAATTTCCCCAGCCCAGCAAACTGAAAGCTCTAGGAGAGGTGTTTTTCGTTCGGTTTCAATCTTAAAAGGAGCTTTGGGAAGCTTTTGGGCAGACGGGGGATCCCAGTGGTCAGGGCGGGGCTGGAACTGTGAGGCACCAAGGGCAAGGCATAACCCTCATGGACTGGAAAGGCAGGGCGGCCCTAACAGTGCCTGGATCCTCTTCCACACAGCACTGCTTGCTCCCTTGAAGAGCAGACTTTGTTGGCCAAAATTTACATCCTAGGGCGGGAAGGGAGATGTGGGTTTCAGCGATGCTTAGGCTGTGCAACCAACACCCAACTTTCACTGGCTTTCTCAAAAAGTCCCTTGGAAATCCCCGGCTGCTCTCTTGCGTATTTGACCCGGAGGTGGCTGCTCTCAGAGAATGGAAACAGTTGTGGGGAGGGGAGGCAAGATGAGCTGAGCACGAATAACCACACACTTGGTCTTCCTGGACCCAACGCTGCGCTGGGGCCTTAACTGTCAACCTATAGAAAGCGAAAGACTTCAGCACTGGTTTGGGGGGAGGGGTTTGGGTCACCAGTTGCACAATGGTATTTCATAGACTGGGAGTGCCAGGTGCACTGAGCCTGGGCGCTCACATATCTTCTCTGGTCCTTGAACATGCTTCTGGTGCCACTCACCCATCCAAATTGGCATTAAGGTGCTAAGTCCCTTCCCCTGCTGGAAATCAAAAGCCAACAAAGTCTGCTCTTCAAGGGAGTGAGCAGTGCTGTGTGGAAGAGGAGGATCCCGGAGGGCCGCCCTGCCTTTCAAGTTCCTGAGAGTTATGCCTTGCCTCATAGTTCTAGCCCCACCCTGACCACTGGGGTCCCCCGTCTTCCCATCGTCTAAGGATTTTCTCTTGCTGTCTTGCCCAGTAGTTTAGTTCCTTCAGAAAGGCAAGGCTCTCCCCTAGTTGAGCAAGGACAGATAAGACATAGGAAATAATGACCAGGCTGCCTTCCCTGAGCCTACTTACTCCTCACCCATCACAGGCTGAACCCTTACAAACTTGAGGAGTAAGGGTCAGGATGTTCTGGCCTTAGAGGCAAGCAGTTTCCCCAGAAGTAATGGGGCTGAGCTAGTAATTTTCCATAACGGTAACCTCAGCCTGGGCTCTCCAGATTTGGAAACCAGGCCTCACTTTGGACCCAGTCACTCCCAGTCTGTCTACAACCTGCTATTCAATCCTCACTTCAGCCCTCCCTGATACCTGATCTGTATGTGTATAAAAGAGGTAGGTAATGCTTAAGAACAGACTACTAATAACACCTTTGTCTGGAAGTCTGGTTTATGTTTAGTATCAGGAAAGTCTTTTGTTGAAAGAGCATTTTACAGTTGACAAAAGGGCTTTCATGTCCTCTACCTTACTTGATCCTCACCAAAACCCTCTGTCATTACTATGCCTTATTTAGTGACGAGACCGGCTCAGAGTTAAGTGACTTGGCCATGATAGTAGAGCTTTTGCTCAAGAAATTCTTTACCCACACTCAGTTTAGGGCTCCCTTTTCTGACTGTTATCCCCAAACAGTTTACTCCCTGAGAATGGCACAGAACATCCGTGAGGCAAAAGCTTTGTGAGTGAAAGTTACATGTCCTTATATACTGATACCCTCCACCTGCCCTACTCCCACTCCCTATTTTTCTAATCCCCAAGTCTAAAATTAGCCAGAGGGAGATCCTGGGGATTTACTCGAGGATCACTGTGCAAAGCATTGGGAAACATTCTCCAGTTCCCACCTGGCTGCATCTTCTCTTCTGCCCCAGTAAGTCTTAGGAATTTGCTGGCTTGTACTCCATTCTTCTCTGTTGTCTTTTTCTCCTTGCCATCTCCCTCCATCTACAACCCACTAATAGCACCTTCAAACTCTACAGTGCCATTTTAGACTCGTGATGAAAATGCACCTATCCAACTAGTGGATCAGATCAGGCCATTGTTCCTGCCTCCGGCGCCGCTGCCTCTACTCACTAGCTGAGTTTTCTGAGTTCTGTCTCTAAATAGATAAAATTTCCTCTCTAAAATGCAGTTGACAGAACTAAGGTGTCAGGTGCTAGATATAGTCTTGATTTGGCTAGATACATAGGTCAGGTCACTTACTAAAAGTTTGTTATACACTCATGATTTGTTTACTTTTCTGCTTGAATATTTCTTTTTTTTAAAGATTTATGTATCTATACATACAGAACTAGGGTACAGGCCAGAGGTGTGGGGGGTGAGAGGATCCACCTGAGGCAGAGTAGGGAGTTTATTCATATTTAGAATAGGCAGAGTGACCAAAATACACTGCTGAGGGGAGCAGCAGGCTGGCCAGGAGAGGGCTGCCACGCCATGTGGGTCAGCTCTGGGGCGGGGATCAAAGTCATGCTGGAGTGGCTGTGATAGCTTCATAGTGCTGTGCTTTAACCTGTTGCACTACCAGAGAGGGCCCCGTATATTATATTTTAAGTGAAGTTGGTGGTTTCTGTCTTAGAATAGTTATAAGAATCAGATAGTACACTAATTTAGATAAAAGCACTTTAAGAAGCTATAAACTACCAAGTGCATCTACAGGGTTGTCATCATCCAAAGTTGTCCACCTCTCCGTAATTTCTAAGTTAGCGTGGCAAGAACGTCATCCCTTGAGGCAATAGATGTTCCGTGATCTTTCATACATAAATGTTTCAAAACTGAAACATTTTTCTTCAAGCACCATGGCATTTCATTTTAATATCTCTAGCGATATAACTATATATAGTATATTTTCAATGAATATATGTATAGGACAAAGGACTGAGCTATTAAAATATGTATATATGAAATGAGCTACAGGCTCATTTCAAAAATCTGATGTAATACTTCCTGTTTGGCCCTGGCATTCCCCACAGGCTCACCTCTTGTGCTGCAGAGAGAACTTGAGGGAAGTTAAGGAGCAACTTCAGACACAATGGCTGGGGAACCCCAACTTTTCTCTAAAATGGATTCCTTATTCCCCAGCAACTGCCACCCTTTCAAACCCTCCCCCATCCTGGAAAATACCTGGAAGGAAGCAAGTGTTTTGGGGCCACTAGCCGGAAGAGGGGGTTTAACTGTCACCTTGTCCCCAGAGGCTTGAGGAGCAAGAGGGCAGAGGGGAAAATGCAAATCCAGCTTGGGAAGGAGAACACCAACGGGAGAGGTGGCAGCGGGGTTGTCTTCCTCCCTAGCAGGCTTCCACCCTAGGTTCTGGGAGAATGCAACAGCTACCTCCACCCTCAGCAGGCAGCTGTGGCAAATGGCACTTTCTCTGGACGGCGGGTAGACTCACTTCCTTAGTTCTGCTCCCCAGAGGAGCAAGCTGAAAGGGGCGGAGTCTGGATGTGAAGTTCTAGGTGGGTAGATCAGGTTAGTGAGCCACAGGAAAACAGATCTGTCCTGCTTCAGCAGTAGGGACTAAGCTTAGATTGGAAGGTTCTTTGGCCTCTACAGACACCAGAGACTGGAATTGAGACCACTTGGGGTCCTTGCAATGGGAACCTTTGGGGGCAACTGGAAGAATGTGAGAAGCAGCCCTCAGGCCAGTGCTTCTATCATAATCGTCTGTTCCATAGTGCGGCAATTACCAGGTCCAAACCCAGCCGCCTCTACTAGTGCATTTGGTCTTCCTGTGAGGCATATTCCCCTTTCACAGATCAGAAAACTGAGCTTTAGTTCTCGAACTTGCCCAGGGTCAGTGGCCAGGCAAGGCTATGCTGGTATTTCAACCCAAAAGTCCTGCCTTGGCAATCAGGGA